GAGAAAGTGAAAGAGCAGAAGCCTAAGTCATGTAGCTGGTGAGGACGCAGCGAGGGTGGTGGCGCTGTAACGCCGCAGCAGCTCAGCGAAACTCTGGCTTCTGTCCGTGGTTCTAGTCTGCGCGTGTCAGTGCATGGTGACGCCGTGGGTTTGTATGCTCTCTCTGTCTGTCTCTGGGGCATTTCGCACCATTTCAAGCTTTGGATCAAACCGGGCGACACGCGACGGAATTACCGCCACAAGGGTGTGGTTCTATCCAAAATGACATCGCCGGATGTAAATAACAAGTGGAAGTAGGATCTCTGCGCATCCTTTAGAGATGTACACCGCGGTGAGTGCTGCCTTGTCCTCGCGGGGGAGCCACATGCGATTCATCCTGATGGGGTTTTGTTTTATTGTCGATCTCTGATCATTTGAGTCTTATTTGCAAAGAGCAGATGCGTATTTAATCTCGGTCTGTTGTGCGCGCAGTGATGGTGCGATAACGGTGTCGCTTTCGCTCGCAGCGCTGGTTTTATTTGCGCTCCTGTGCTGAATACGCGATTCATTGCCTTTCTATTGTCTCTTCACACAGAGCTCCGGGTCTGGGAACGCGTCCCTGCGCTGTTCTATGTCTTCATCGGCAGATTTCTCCGATGAGGAAGAGTACAGTGCGAAATCTGGGTCGGTGTCGCCGGCGCCGGGGGACACGTTACCGTGGAATTTACCCAGACACGAGCGCTCGAAGCGGAAGATCCAGGGAGGATCCGTGCTGGATCCTGCCGAGAGAGCGGTGCTCAGAATCGCAGGTAGGACCCTAAAATATCTCCCAGTCTCCCTGCAGCCGTGCACGTCCATTCATTAGGCTCTTACAGAGAAAACGACGAGGCCTGTCGTTCGCTATTTGATCAAGCAGCAGTCAGTGAACTACACGTACAAATACAGAGTTGATCAATAATAAGCGATGAAGAATTCACGTAGTTTGGGTTTTAAGAAAGTATTTAAAAAATCTGTCTGTCTGTCTGTCTGTCTGTCTATCTATCTATCATTTATCTATCTATCTATCTATCTATCTATCTATCTATCTATCTATCTATCTATCTATCTATCTGTCTATCTATCCATCTATCTATCCATCTATCTATTTATCTATCTATCTATCATCTATCTATCTATCTATCTATCTATCTATCTATCATCTGTCCGTCCGTCCATCCATCCATCCATCTATCTATCTATCTATCTATCTATCTATCTATCTATCTATCTATATCTATCATCCATATATCATTTATCTATCTATCTATCTATCTATCTATCTATCTATCTATCTATCTATCTATACCTATCATCCATATATCATTCATCTATCCATCTATCTATCTATCTATCTATCTATCTATCTATCTATCTATCTATCTATCTATCTCCTAATGGCCTATATACACAGACTCAGAAGAAAAGGTACAGACGCTGTGACTGGAGTGGTATAATTTCAAAAGGTACACTTTTGTACCATATTTACCTCTAAAAAGGCATACTAGTATCTTATAGGTACATATTAATACATAGCATACAAATTAGTACCTAAATGGTATGTTAGTGACAGATTTTGTACCTTTTTTCCCCCTGAGTGCACAAACAGCCTGCAGTTCATCATTTGGCAGTTTTATGCTATTTATTTCTATGATAAATCATTTTTCTTTTAATGGTTTTATAGAACAATAATAACACATTAGGCTTTACCCTACAAATAAAAGAACTTGTAAAGCATTGTAAAAAAAAAGAAGCATCACTATAAGGCAGAGCTGCATGGTGTTTAGTATTATGAAAGTTGAGATTGGTCGGCATCTGCTTGGGAAGATGATGTTTGTCCTGTAATAGAGTTGTGTTCATCATGCTCCCGTTGTAAACGCGAGGACGGGAACGCTCCGGTTTTAGGACCTTGGAGAGCACGCTTGCAGACACATGGCCGCGGTGACCACCAGCGTGTGCCTCTAAAATAGAGGATGACTGTGCATGACACATTATCCCCTTCATGTAGTCTGACATGTGATATATATATATATATAGCATTCCAGATGAATGCTGACCACACATGAACAGTGTCAGGAAGACTAGCAGCGTTAAATAAAGCACGCAAAACGGCATGTCGTGAAAACTGGTATTATTTTGAAGAAGCTATTGGCGTTTGCTGGGATGCAGTGAGGGACAGTCTCACCGGCGCACGGCTGAAGCGGCAGAGGAAGTCGCGCTCATTGGCCGGTTGGCGGAGCTGGGAGGGGACGCAGGGCGTCGCCGGTAACGGAGCAGCGGCGCTGATCGGTCAGGCTTCACTTCGCCAGTGCGGCCGGTAAATGACCAGCCTCGACCGCTCCGCCAATGGCCCGCTACGGACCGGCTCCGTATGTGCTCGCCGACGAATTGGAGTATCTCCAGGCGTACGAGGACGTGCTTGAGAAGTATAAAGGTAAAGAATGACTCCGGTTTGACCGCTCCTTAAATTAAAAATGTGCTTCGGCAGCGAGACGGTTAACGGTGTCAGAGCATCAGCGTGATGCATGCTTACATTAATACATGCATTGTTTCATTGTTTACTGAACGGAAACCGACCTGATGTGACAAATTGAATAAGCTTGTTACAGTAAGACTAAACCCCTTTATTTCTGTCTATCTGACAGATCGTGTAGAAATATAGTTCTGTTTGTGTGTTCAGATGATTGCATTAGATGTTTGTTATAAAAGCCCATTGTGAAATCCTGATTTGATTGCTCGTCTACATCTGTCTGTGGTGTTGTCCCATCCATCGTGTCTGCTCTAAATGCATCTCTCCTCATGCACTTACAGTGGCTTCCAGCCATTTGGATCACTAGTCCTGGTTTAGGGATGTTATTTTCTTCTCAGCATCATCCTGCCAGTCAGCCTCTGTCTCTGCAGCGTGCATGTCTAGGGAAATATATAAATGCACGGAAATACATTTTTCCCCATTGAATGAGTGTTGAGTATTCAGGTGAAGCTGATGTGTTGTTTTTGGTGATTTGTAGCTCAAGAAGAGCAGCAGATCGTCTATCAGCTGTTGGGTATCATAAGCTAACAGTCAGCTGTGGTGCAGCAGGAATAAAACAATCATTAAAAATCACTTAATGTGTTAGGTATCAGACAAATGTTTTTATTAATATTGGGCAATTTAAAAAATATTGGATAATAATAATACAAAATAATAATAATAATGAATTATTTTGTAAAAATTTTTCCATAAAGCATGTTATGTTTTCATTGTTGCAGTAATGATTAATTTACTTTAAACATTTGTCATCAAAAATATAGAAATCACTTGGCAGGTGCTTAAACATCAAGCGTAGCGTTACTTCTGGCAGGTCACGTTAGTCAAGCTCCCATCAGCTGACTCTCAGCTGATCCCCATCAACCTATGGGAATACGACACCTATCTAAGCATTCATATATAAGCTCCCTCAGTATTATCAGCAGTTTTCGCATTGCTCAATAGCTAATTACCCTTCTCCATCCCCAGCTCCTCCTCTGTCAGTCGGGATTCAGCCTTCTGATTCTCCTTTGTATCAGACTAATTCTAAAATGTGTACATAGCATTATTGAACGTTAACGATATCTGCAATACATTTGTGTTGGTTCTGTTCTGTTTACCCCGGGGGGTTATCGCTGCTCTCCCTGCTCTCATCCATGCTAGGCTGCATGGAGGCGCAGGGAGTTCTTGCCCAGAACAGAACCATACCGTCAATCCAAACTGTATGCTAATTGTCAATCATCTTTGACGATAGTGGTCCTGACAGAAGTACAGGTAATGGTTGACGTCTAGGTTAGTGTCCAGTTACTTTGTGGAATTTAGTTTGTTTTGGGTTTCGAGGTAAGAAGCACTGAGGACGTGCGGTACAATACCCGGCTAATTGGGTATTAAAGGTAATAACACACAAGCAGAGTTTTTTTTTTGTAGTGGTGTTCTTGTAAAACAGAGCGTTTCATCTTAGATCAGATTCAATCGGTTCCTTTCAAAATGTCTTAATCTTGTACTTTTGAACGGGACTCAAATGTGTACATTTCAATAGGCCTGTGAATGTGAGACTGGAACATGCAAGCTGCTTCGGGGTCGTGCACAGTTACCATCGCGTACAGGACCGCAGTGTACTAACAGGTGAAGACCAGAAATGACATAAGCCCTTGTGTTATTTTAACATTGTGTGGCTAAGAAAGCTCAAGATTTACTCTAGATTGGGTGTGTCTCTCATTTTTCTTTGGAGCTCCAGTGTCCTTTCTATTAAGGTAAGAAGCTCTTTCATGAAATTCTAAAGGTACTGTAGTGTACAAAGAAACCAACACGCTTTACATCCGCTTGTCACTGTGGACTGTTTTTATAAGGCTTTTGTTATTACTTGATTGAGTTCTTATGTGGATGAACACCAGAGAAGAAAAGTAACCAGAGGATTTGAAATATTAGCCCTTTCTGGTGATTACATGCTGTTTTGTCTGGGTAAACCATATTATTGTGATGATTAGAGTATTGTAGAATTTCAGAGAACTGCTTTGCTCAAAAGAGCCAATAGTTCTTGCTCTTATTATCTGCACTGAACATTTTTTTTTCATTCAACCAATTAAAAAAATGTAAGGTAATGATTCACGTCTATATTTTTTAACTTGAGCCAATGAAAAATAAATAACTTGCCCTAAACAATATTTTCTATGTCTATGAAAACTATTTTGTAAAACCTGGCACAGAGTTTATTTTTCTTGTTGAAGAAAGTCAATTAATTTAAATTCTATTTTTGATCCAAACAAAAAAATATAGATTTAATCAAAACAAAAATTCTCATTTAAGAAATACATTTTTTATAGTTTTCATAGACATAGAAAATATTGTTTAAGGCAAGTTATTTATTTTTCATTGGCTCAAGTTAAAAATTATAGATGTGAATCATTACCCTACATTTTTTTAATTGGTTGAATGAAAAAAAAATTTTCAGTGTAATTTCCAAGTTAAATCTATATCAGTTGTTTTATTTTTCCAATTTGTTATACTAGAAAATTAAGAAAAAAAGCAGACAAAAAAAGGAACATTCATGCAATTTTCTGTTTTATTTTAATTCAATTCCAAATGTTAATTTAAAAACACAAAACATGAAAACATTTCCCCATAAAACATACATAACAAACTAACATAAAACAGTTGATCTCAGAATCACAACAAACGGCATCAAAACTATATGGTTTTATTCCACTCTGAATTCACAGTATTGGCAATACTGAATTTTAGGTGCTAACTCACCTTTTCCAAGGTTGAGTATTACCTGCTGAATAAAATATGAAGTGCTTTTCGTACACTTAGTCCAGGTGCAGAGCATAAAGCAGTCTGACAAAATGGACATAGAAGGCCTGAGATCGGTCGGTTCATCCATTACAAAGTTTTCTTCCAAGATGATTCCCACTCTAGATGGGTTTAGTTGTGGACTTGCTTGATCAACGCTGAGGAGTCTTACTGGAGTCTGTCTTGTCAGCTGCGTCCTAACAGAGGAAGAAACAGATCGATAAAGCCATTATCAAGTCAGTTAGATAATGCTGTTGTCAAATACTCAAGATCATATGCTGCGTTCACACCATGTTCTACTTAGAGCTGTTCATGTCCTTGGACCGGGAACTGTGCGTTTCTATGGCAACACTATCCATGCCTAAATTAATCTGCAGCAGTCAGGTACAGTCACGTGGTACAAGCAGAAGCTCTCAGAAAATTCCCAGATTACAGATGGTAATTATGAGTTCTACAAGGACATGAATTCTTTTTCCAAGTTGTAATCTTGTAATTATGGCAAATACAACATGGGATGAATGCACTTATAAAATTGGATGAACATGGGATGAATGCACTTATAAAATTGGATGAACATGGGATGAATGCACTTATAAAATTGGATGAACATGGGATGAATGCACTTATAAAATTGGATGAACATGGGATGAATGCACTTGTAAAAAGAGCTGGCCTTTTGGGTGATGTCAGGTTTTCTGTGAAGAGCAAACATTAAAGTTACAGTCTTTATAAGGGCATCTGACTTAAGGGTTTACATTTAAATGTACAGTGTGCCTGTCAATAAAGTGATCCTCCTCAGAACAGGCCTCAGTTAACCCACATGACATAAAATAACATCCATACAACTAACTTATCTAAAACAAAGTTTCCACCTTCTCACCCACAGCTCGTTGAATTCACACACAATCACACAGTGACAAAATGGTGTCGTTAACGGACTCTCAGTGTGAGGAGGCGTGGTCATGATATAAACTTAATAATATGAGTTAATCTAACCTTGATATTTTACATTCGTCAAAACAAATATGTCTTAGTTGAGCTCTTAATGAAAAATATTTATATTTATCAATGTTTTGAACTAAAAAAATATTACTTGAAAATAAAACAAATAATGGTAAATTTAATTGAAAGACAAATTATTAATTGGATGAAGTACTGCTCGAAAAACTTTTTTCAGTGTGTAGTATCCAATCACGCCTTGGTGAAACACAGAGCTGTGGTGTATTTAGTTCATACGCTCAGTACCAGGACAAATGGCATTTAACCAGGTCAGATGGATTTAATTCTTGTGCCAATACACATCAAATAAATTCCTACTAGGTCATATAGTAGTAGGGCTGGTCCGAATACCATTTTTTGAGCTTCGAAGCTTCGGTAGTAATCAACACCGAATATTCTAAGCTTCGGCGGGAGGGAGCTGAACATATTCTTCTCTCAACACCGTGTCTACACTGGACGCCGCGCTGCAACAAAATACAATAGAACCTATTATGTAGTGGTCGACCGATATGGGTTTTTTGACAGCCGATGCCGATATCTTGGAAAGCAGGGTGGCCGATGGCTGATATAAAGCCAATATAATTTTATTTATTTTCATTTATAGTTAAGAAATTTTAAATAATTTGAAAATGGATTAAAAATTATTGTGTAAAATAAACGTACTTATACTTTAGAAGACAAAGCATTTTTCACAAATAAATAAATATTTAATAAAAATAAAAACCAACAGGGCACTCAGTATTCTGGGAAGTTTGTGTGCATTAGAAATCTTTTTTTTTCAAATAAAGCCAAGGTAACACTCATTTTACATACAGCATGCAATGAAAATTACATGAATATGACAGCGGGCAAATGCATAAAGTGCAGCATAATTTGAAATCACTAGTTTAAAGTTTGTCGATCGTGCGTTTCCAGTCAAGCAGAACTCTCCTCCTGTCGGCATTCAATTTGCACAGACCGACCGTCACCCAGAGAACACGTGATCATGCAGGATACACATGCACACTTTAACTAGATTCGACTAAGTCTGCAAAGTTTGTGAAATTAAATGTTCATTAGTCATTCAAAAATTTGTTTAAATGATATAAATGCGTATCTGCTGAATGCTGATGGCAAATGAGAAAGTATTATAATGT